GCCCGCCCGCCCGCGCTCCACACCGCGGGTAAACAGTTACAGCCGGCGAGGCCAGCACGCGGGGGAGCCCGGCCCAGCCTTCGCCCGCACGCCGGGGAGCGCGCCTCGGAGGCGCAGACGAGGAGGCGCGGGCGCCGGCGCGGCGATGGATTTCCAGCAGCTGGCGGACGCTGCGGAGCAATGGTGCTCCAACACGCCCTTCGAGCTCATCGCCACCGAGGACACCGAGCGCAGGATGGATTTCTACGCCGACCCCGGCGTCTCCTTCTACGTGCTGTGTCCGGACAACGGTTGCGGCGACAGTTTTGTGAGTGCAGGGAGGGATGCAGTGCTGGTGAGGAGGGCGCAGCCCCGGGGTGCAGGGGCGGGGGTAGGGGCGTGACCCGCTCCGTCGGGGAAGCCCCTGGCCGGGAGGGGCCCGCGAACAGCGCGAAGGGCGCCCCGAGGACCCGCGAGCCTGGCTGATGCGGTAGGTGTGGCGTCCTCCCCAGTCTACCCTCCGCTCCTGGCGGACGCGGATTCGAGAGCACCACCCGCGGGCGCCGCACGAAGCCAGGCTTGGCACACCCTGGGGCGGCCCAGCCTCGCTGTAGCCGAGGCTGGGCACACAGACCGGCCCGTAGCTTCTGAAGTCTGGAGCGTCCTGTGCCAGACGTCCTGTCCAGGGCGAGGAGTCCTGTGCTACACCCGAGGTGGAGACACAACTCCTGGAATTGCCCCTCGCTCCCCTCGGCGTTATTCCTAGTGCTGTCTGTTTGGACACAAAGCCTCTGAGCACCCTAGGGATTCCTGATATCCTGGACCTTCTTTGCGGAATTACACCCTAGATCTTAAAAACGCACGCGCGCGTGCGCATCTCTCTCTCTCTCTCTCTCTCTCTCTCTCTCTCTCTCTCTCTCTCTCTCTCTCCCCCCTCCCTCCTTCCTTCCCCCCCTTCACCCCTACTCCCATTGCTCCTCTCTGTGCTGCCAGCGAGGTGTATTTGGCCCCAGCAGGTTCTGTCCAGCCCGGAGCCGGCTGTGGCCGCGCTGGAGTCTTGGCTTTTCCAGAGGGGGGCGGGGGCACCTAGTAATGCGGTGTCCAAACGGTAGACTTTGCATCCCGTGCCCACTTGGGATCTTGCAGCTGTCTGTTTAGGAAGGGGACGTGGAGAGCAGGGGAGTTGGGGTTGGCGATGTGGAGGCCAGATGAGGTTGGCACTCCATGAAGTGTTTGTAAGCACGGGGAATAAATAATGGTCCCAAATGTAAGATGGAGTCGGCTGTGGACGCAGGTTACCTTGTGGTCGCTGGCCTGAGCCTGGAGCAGGCGCTGCTGCCGCCCTTGCAGACAGACACAGGGTGGCCCGAGGCTTGGCTTCTCAGGTGAGGGTGAGACAAAGCCGGCTGCCTACCCTGCCACCCCTTCCCCGCCCCCTGGGAAGTTCAGAGAGTTAGATACCTCCCTTGGACCACAGAGGGGAAGGCTTGTGCATGCTTGGCCAGTAAAGTCTGCCTGTTTCACCACTCCATTTCTGAGTGCGTGGGAGGAGAGCCCACCCGGGCCCAGCTCCGAGACACTAGAAGACCCATGGCTTTGGGTGACAGCCAGATTTGAGTTCTGGCTGTGTGACTATGGCCGAATGTTTTCCCCAGAGTACAATTTTCATATCCACAAAATGAGTTTAATAATAATAGTGCCCTGGTGATTGTGCAGATAAAGCATCTCAGGGCCCATTGTGCACAGTAGGGGCCTCACAGATTTGGGATTCGGAGACCTCGTGTTGCTGAGAGTTTAGAGCCTGTCTCTAACAACCTTAGTTTTCTCACCTATAAAATGGTCTTTTCTTAAAGCACTCATGCTGAGTGATCAGGTTAACTGCATAGAATAAGTAAAGAAAAGTTATAGGAAGAATGGGAGATCTAGAGAGATGTACTCCACTGCAAAAGTGTGAGAGCCCAGAGATCTAGTAGAAAAGGCAGCATGGCCCAACTAATTCAGTGTTAGGATATGTCTAGGAGACCCGTCCAGCCTGCCCTGGCCTGTCAGGTCCTTCCTCATCCCTGGTGTGCCAAGAGGAAAGAGTTGCTCATGGCTCCAGATTTTATGGACCGTGTGCTCCCCGGTTTTCCTGCTGGGACCACAAGGGGCATACCCCACGAATGACTCCCGAGTGACTAGGACAGAAGGACACTGGCTGCTCTGACTGGAATGTGTATCTCAAACCACCATTAAGAACCCTCACTTGTGTCAGGCTACTCATATTGAAAGTGTGGGCTGGTGACTTAAGTATAAAAGATAAGGAAAATAGAGGATAAAAATATGTCATTGGGTAGACCTGAACTTTTCTCAAAGTTTCTGAAGGCCATAGGGACCATAAGATGCCAACTGTGGCAGTTTTCTTATCTAAACCTCATCTTGAATCTGTCCCAGGCTAGGTGTGCCAAGGTGCTGTTTGGCTCTAATAAGGGGCCTATCTTGGTTCTTTCCCTTTTCCCAACGTAGTCTGTTAAGCATTAGAAGAAATTTAAGTTGAGTGGAATCCTTGTTATTTGAAAGATTACATTTGTTTATTACTGGGTATTGGACCCAGGGCCTTCACACTGACTGACTACATCCCTGGCCCTTTTTATCTTTTTTATTTGGTGATAGGGTCTTGCCAGGTCACTAAGCTGGCCCGGCTGGGCTCAAAGTTGACATCCTTCTGCCTCAGACTCTTGAGTAGGTGGGATCCCAGGTTTGTGCCACTGTGCTCATCAAGATTTCTTAACAATAAGATTTACATAACATCTCTCAATTTGCATGGCATTCATTCAACTGGCAAACTCAGTAAGTTGAGGACTTACTCGCTGCTGGGTCGAGGCTACCTGGCATGCAAATAGCCTCCATGGTCCTGTGCTGTTTTTACCCTCCTCTAAGAGATTGTGTGGCATAGTGGTCAGGAATCCAGGCTCAGGTCAGAAATCCCAGCTCCCACTCCTCACTGTGTACTTTTAGGAAGTCATTTAACCCCTCTGTATTACAGTTCCACATCTGTTACCTTCCTAGAAGCGTGTTCTAGATCAGTGTTTAAAGTAGGGGTGGTTGGGGCTGGGGAAATGGCTCAGTGGAATAAGTGCTTCCCTGGCAAGTGCAAGGGCCTGAATTCAATCCCCGGTTCTGCAAAAAAAAAAAAAAAAAAAAGTAAAATAAAATAAAATAAAGTAGGGGTGGTGATCAAAGAGTGTCAGGCAGGATTGTCAGAGTGCTTACAGTAAGCACTCAGTACCTGGTAGCCCATCTCCTTACCTCTGAAAATGTGACTGCCATTCAGTTAGTCACTCAAGCCAGAAATCTGGGGGACATCCTTAACACCAACCTTTACCCTTCCCTGCATCTGATGCATATAATTTTGCCAGAATCGCCTTCAGAATCCATGCAGTGTGTTTTTCTCTACTCCCATGCTGTCACAGTCTAAGCCACTGTCATTTTTCTTCTCTCCTAAACTTATAACCTTTAAGTCTCCACCCAGCAGTCACTTTGAAGCTATTTAAAATATGATCTCGACCTATATAAAATTTAAAATAAAAATAGTGATGGTGTTAGTTGTCAGGTCACCAGCAGTCCTGTCCTTACCTGAGCCCACTTCCCAGCCTTCTTACAATAAAGCCCGGCCCCTTGCCCTGGGCTTCCAGCCTGCACATAGTGTGCCTTCATCTTGTCTGTTCTCCGTGCTCGCTTATGCTGGCCTTTCTGGTGCTCCCACATCAAGCCCGCTGCTGCCTCTGGGCCTTTGCACTTGCAGTTTTTGTCCAGAACACCGTTGCCCCAGCTATTTACAGAGCCGGGTCCTTTACGCCATTCAGGCCTTGGAACATCCTCCTGGCTCAGTCTTTCTCACCTTAGCCTCTTTTGTTTTTACCATAGCACTCATTAGACTGAGTCTTTTTTGTCGTTGTTATTTATTTTGGTTTGGTTCTCTTTTGTTGTTGTTGTTTCTTTGTTTTCTGCCTCTATTAGACTATAAGTTTCATGCAGCAGAGCCCTGTTTTATTACTGTATCCCAGCACCTTGAATAGTGTCAGATAAGTTATAGTTGCTCAGTACATTTTTGTGAAACAAATGAATGAATGATCAGTGAGTCTAGTGGGGAGAGTTGTTAAAAGAGTGAGAATACAGCTCTGAAAAACAAGTACTTAATTGTTCACCTCTGTAATTCAGATACTGTTCTAGGCACTGGGCAGATGTGAACTGGATGGTAGCCTGGGGTGGGCCCGGCCCTCTATGTTCAGGGGCCCCTGGGTGATTTCCTTCCACACTAAGGCAGCAGGCCACCACTGTCCTCCCCTGGAGGCCTGCCCTTAGTATGATGTCCTGTCCTCCTGTGAGGGGTACAGCATGCCTTGCTCCAGTGGCCCTCTTGAAGATTCATGCATTCTGGACCTAGATTACTGACCAGGGTGTGACACTGCAAAACCACAGGTTCTCTGATTCCTGCTTTTTTTTTTTTTTTTTTTCCTACCTTCTGACCTGAGTGACATTTGGTTCTACATGATTGAAGTTGCTGTGGCCATGTGGGCCTTGTGACCCAGGACCCTGAGTCTTCAAGTACCCATTTTCCCCTTGACTGAGGTTAGATGCCCCAAATCCTGCTTTCAGGAGTATCAGCTCTGCCCTGGACTGTTCTCTTACCAGAGAAATTGTCCCCCCTCTGCCCCGTGCCTGGTAATGTTCCCGAAGAGCCAGTCTGTGTTATCTGTGGGCGCTGACAGGAGGCACACTGCTTTCTTTGCGTGGGCTGCTGAGAAAGCTTTAGTGCCTGTAGCGAATGGCCAAGCTCCTACATACTGCCGTTTGTCCTCATCTCACTCTTGGTTTTCTCTTATTTTCCTTCTTTTATTTTTCTTTTGTCTTTCTTTCCCCAACTGATGACAGTTTTCAGTTTGTCTTATTTTATGTACTATGACTCTTTGAAAGCTGCCTTGGTTGATTTTAGAAACAAATAGTTAAAATAACTACGTGTTATGACATTTGATGGATAAAGAATAAATGACAGGTAGTAAATGGTATCTTTCAAGTGGCCATGGCCATCTGGGCCTGTCTGACCCCAAGCCTCATGTCCCCCACTTTATCGTGTGGACAGCAATTCAAACACAAAAAGCCAACAAATCTGGGAATCCAGGGGGAGGTCGCAGCCAAATAAAGCAAGTCTGGGCAGAAACACTTTAGTGAGTATTTAATCTCCCTTCTCCAACAAATATTTATAAACGAACAGTTCCAAGAGTAATGGAAATTGTGGCAGGAACAATCTTCATGGGATTAAAGATGCCCAGAAACAACTCAATACAGGGATCTCAAGAGGTGGTGGATCTACTGCAGACCTGTTATTAAGTGGGCGTGCTTCTGTTTATTTGTGACTTAAACGTACTTTTAAAAAGTACTATACAAATATTTCTTGAATCCGCCTACTTTTGAATTAACTGCCACCCAGGAGGGCCTGGACAGTATTTATGGTACAGTTACACTGTGTGTCTGGTTTACTCACTGGGTGACCTTAGCATTGTGGCAGATCGGAGCCCAGCTTACCACCTCTCCCTTCATCTTCCTGCAATGTGAAAGGGCAAAGAAAGTACCATGTCTGCCACTTACTGAGTGTACCAGCCTGGGACACAACCAAGCACTAAATAAACATATGACTCTGATCATCACAGTAAGTCAAGGGAAGGCAGGCTTACTGGGGCATGCTGCTAGGTGTTAATTCCATCTTTATCAGAGTTAATTCGAAATAAGCTGGAACTTCACAAAATTGAATGTGAAAAGCAACACTAAGCAAAAAACTTATTAAAATAGGACTTTGTTGTTCTTGCCGAATCTCTATTAAGAATCAACTGAGAGGGGCTGGGGAGATGGATCAGTAGAATAAGTGCTTGCCTGGCAAGCGCAAGGGCCTGACTTCAATCCCTGGTTCAGCCAAAAAAAAAAAAAACCAAAAAAGAATCAACTGAGATAATGACTATAAAAGTACTTTGTACTATTAGACTTTAGTGCAGTAAAAGAAACGATTACATAAGTGACATTTCAGCGCCTCCGAAGCTCTAAGGGTCTCTAATTAATAAGGAAGAGTTCTCTAAAGCTAGAGGGCCCTGGCCATTGGCTCCATCAGGTTGAGGAGGACGCACTGGCGAAGACTGCTGGAATTGGAGCCGCAGATGTCGGAAATGGACCTTTACAACATGAGATAGATAATTGGGCTATGGAGATGGCTCATGAGCACCTAGCTACTTGCGCTTGGATCTGAGCAGTATTTTAAGTCTGTAGTTCTTGTTCTTGGAAATCCTGCAGTGAGAAGGAAGGCAGTAAAATGTTTATTGAGTGACAAACATAGAACTTTCTAGGGTGCTGTGCTGATCATTTGTATGAATGGAAGGGAGCCAGCATGCACTTGACATGGACCATTTCTCCAAATAGGTCTTGTCCCCTGCTGTCTCACCCATGTGTCTTACTCCAGTTGGCCAGATGTCGGTCCCTCTCCCAGGCCTCAATACTGTCTCACCAGTGTTGTGCTGTCATCAAATGGTGCTCTCGAGACAGGTCTGTGGTACTTTATAGAAACCTGGTAGCCAGGCATGCCCCTCCCCCTCCCCTCACTCAGCTGAGTAGAATGTAGACTTCTGCTTCCAGATCTTAAGCCTATTTCTTGGGCTTATTCCAGACTCTTGAACATTTATGGGAGAGCCTTGCCTCCTCTTAATGATGTGCTGAAAAAGTCTCATGTAACAAACAAACAAAAAAACCCTTGCCCAGTCTTAAGAAGAAAATAAGACTGAAAAATCACCTGTGTGCGTGTTTTAGGTGCTATAGTGGTGCCTGGGTAGACTGCCCACTGCAAGCATGGTGAAGAAAGGAAAGCTTTTAGAAAGCCCTGGTTCCCACTGATTTAGTGAATACTTCACATTTTTCCTAAGTTCATTTCATTTTGAAGTTCACCACCATCCCCACCCCCACTCCCAGGCTGATCTGGGTAAAGAACATCTTGTTCCAAGTCCATGGTTAAAAACTAGGCTTAAATCATCCCGTGCCTATAGCTGAAGGCAAAGCAAGGGAATGTGAAGGCAAAGGCCTGGTTTCTCCTCTCTTATTTTAAAAACATCCTTAGCCTGCCTGAGAAGGTGAGCAGTGAAACCATGGGTGAGGACTAAGTGCCCGCTGCGCTCTTTACTACCTGTGAGCAGATGCAGACAGAGCAGATGAAATTGGGAAGCACAGGTTTGGGGTCAGGGTGGAGCTCTGTGATCTCAACATTTGGATCCACTTCCATGGACACAGTCAAAACAGGCCAGTACCATGGAGCATGCCTGAAAGGAACCTAAGTTGGAGGTCAGCTTGGGCAACTTAATGAAATGTTGTCTCAAAATAAAAAGTGAAAGGCCTGGGGCTGTGGCTAAGTGGTAGAGCAATTGCCAAAGATGTGTGAAGCTCTGGGTTTCATCCCCAGAACTGAAAGGGGGAGAAAAGGTGTGGATTTGACTCTGAGGTGGAAGCTGTCTTTAAATTCCTGTAAATCTTTAGAAGTCTGTATGTCGTTCTGTGACATTCACTGAGCATGCTGACCTGTGTCTCTCTGTTTTCTCTCTGCCCTGGCATGGGCTCACAGCACGTGTGGAGTGAGAGCGAGGACTGCCTGCCTTTCTTGCAGCTAGCACAGGACTACATCTCCTCCTGTGGCAAGAAGACACTCCATGAAGTCTTGGAAAAAGTCTTCAAGTCCTTCAGACCTGTAGGTGCCTGTTTGGCTTCTAAAGCCCGTTTGTTTTCTGTAGTCATTGTGTTTTAAATAAAGGAGGTGGTGGGGGAAGTGGGCAAAGCCCCTGAGGACTGATTGTTTTTCTTTTGTCTGCCCTGAGTGTAAAGATAGCAGCCAGGGTAGGGAGGCCGAGGGGGTGGGGGAAGGATGTGACACAGCTGTTTGTCACAGGAATGATGCTTATTTCTAGCATCACTTGAGTTCATTTGAGAATCCCTGACAGGATAGGAAGCGCACAGCTCCTTTTTGAGATAATGGCGTGTTCTGTAGCCTTAAAACCCTGGAGCTTGGAAGGCTGCTCTGGGAAGGTTGTTATCGCCATGTTCGCAGGCATGGAGAAGGAAGCAGCTGGGTACTGGTTCTGTCCCTCCCTCTTTTTACAAAATCTCTTGTACAGAGCTTGCTTTTTCTCTCTCTGTATCTTGGGATTTAGAAATCTTTCTGTGGCTAGCGGAGAGCCTGGTGTTCATGCTAGCAGATAAACATGACAAATGCTCACTTGCCTCTATTTTGAAGATTTCTTACTTCTCTTCACTGGAAGGTAAAGTCAGATTACTGACGTCATGACATCTCCCCACATTCAGTTTTCTTCTCGCTGTACACATTTGCTGTAGCATTTCTGTTTGTTGTCTAGTCGCTTTTAGCGCTCTTGGTTTCTCTGCTAAAACTGTCAAGCTTGCCTTTTAGCTCTTTGAACACAGTGAGCCTGGTTGCGTAACGCCCTGTGTCTCTCATTCCAGCATCTCCAGGTCGGTCAGTCTGGTTGGCATCCTTTGTCTGCTGGTTCTCACTCCTGGTGTTTTGTTTCTTTGTATGTTGGGTGTCTTTATGTGCAGGTTGGTATCTCTGAAAGTGCGTATGCAGGTATAAATGGTGGATTGCAGTGTCATCCTCCAGAGAAGACTGTGGTTAGCTCCTGCCTGGACTTGGGAGCCCGTATGTCTGATACCGCCCTTGTCAGCACAAGGCTCGTGCTTGTCCAAGCATTCTGGGAGACTTGAAAGGAGACTTAACGAGCTGGACTTGTTGGTGGATTGGAGGGGGAATTGGGAAAAGAGGGGAGATGAAGGTGACACCTCCATTTCTTGCCTGAGAAGTGGAAGGAACTGTGTAGTCATCAATGGATGGAAAAGGCTGCAGGAGGCAAGGTTTGCGTATGGATACCAGCTGAGCTCAGTCTTAGATGTGTCGGTGTTTGAAATTCCTATTAAATATCCAGGTTGAGATATCAAGTCAGATAAAAAATTTTAAAAATTGATCTCTCCAGATCTTAACTAGAGAAAAATATCCATCAGCAAATAGCGCTCACTTAGCAGCTGCTTCCCTCCCAGGAGTCCCCCGCCCCACCCCGTCTTCTCTGTGCGGATGTGTTGGTGCTGGCAAGCAGAGGCTGTGCACAATTACCTGGGGAAGGCACGTACCTGCCAGAGTTCATTTTGCTCTTTTCCTTTACTAAGTGTGTTGTATTTCAGCAATCAGGCAGTCAAATGTAAAGAAGGAAAAAACGCAGTTATAACATGTGTAGGTGTGGAGCTGAAAGTAGTTGGGTTATTTCCCTTTACACTGAGCTGTGTGTTGTGGAGACAGGTTTGATTTTCTGGTGTTGAGCTTCCAGGTGTCACTAGTTAATGTAGCTCTACACCGGAGATGTTGCTCTCAAGTCCAGGAAGCGTGAGCAGCTGTGGTGCCCCCTTCTGGTGGGGAGGCTCAAGGAGCTGGCGGCTGTTGGCTGGGAAAGGCTAGTGGGTAGCCTCCTCTCAGCTAGTGTAGGGCAGATGGATGTGGCTTTGGTTGCTCTCCAGCAGGATGTGTCCCAGATTGGATGGAAAGCAGAGTCAGGAGCCTCGGCACAGCAGTGTGCGGATCAGAGGGAAACTTACCTGCTCCATCTGCACTGAATAGTGCTCTTTGTCCCAGTGGTGCTCTCTGAGTTTATAGAAGTGAGCTTCAGGTTTCTGAAACAAGACAGAGGACGGTTTGCTGCTGCTGTTATAGTTGAAGGTCCTTAGTGAAGAAGCACCTACCCTAGTGCTATGGGACTGGAACAGGTGAGACCAGCACAGTACTTCCTGGAACTTAGCAGTCATTGGGTCAGTTTGGGCAGCTGCAACCCTGTCCAGCAGGGTGCCCCCAGAAGGAAGCACACCTCCTTACAACAGTGGGTCCAGAGTTCTAGCACCCTGCTTTCCCATGGTCACCCCCTTGCCATCCTCTGCCCTGTGCTTCTCTCTGGAGAGATGGGGACCTCTCTGTTGACAGACTTCTGCTGCCTGGGAGGGCCTTCCTCAGTCAGGCCTGTCTGCCAGACCTTGCTGAGCTCAGGCATTCTGCCTTGCAAGGACAGAAGAGCAAAATTGTGCCCAGACACCCTCAGCGATCTGCTTGTAAGTCTGTGCTGCCCAGTGCCCACACCTTCTAAGCCAGTGTTGGTGCCCCTGTGCACCTGCACCATAGCAGGCTGTCCGTATCATTGAAAGGTCTAAAAGGTTCACCACCACGGTGCTAGGCTGTGCACTGCCCCTCTGTCCCTGCCTGCATGCCTCCACAGAACAGTCACTGCCACCCCTCGCCAAGAATCTGTTGTTGGATTTAAAAGAAATACAATTATAATTCTCTTCCTTTTAAACAGCCTACTCCTTTTATATTTCTTGTATTTCATCACATTTTCCAACAACATGTAATTCTGCTATTGCTGAAATACTGCCTCAAGGGTGCAAGGCAGGCACAGCATGCCCACTCCGTGTCCTTGGGCAGCTAAGCAGAGCTGGGAGAGCCACAAGAGCAGCACACGGCGGCCCCAGGTACCAGCTGTGCACAGCTTCAGTCCAGGCGTTCTGTGGGTAGGACAAACCTCAGTCCTGCCCCCTGCTCAACTCATTCCTTTTTGCCATTCTTTGGGGAAATATTTGAGAAAGAGGAAGTTTTGAGCAAGTCTATGTGGGGTATTGCTTGTGGTCTTTTCACCAAGTTGTGTGGTATCAGGGTCCAGCCGTGATGCAGGACTCAGGCCTGTGGGCAGGCTGCTTGGGTTCCAACCACCGTTCCACCACTTGCTGGCTGTGGGACTCATACAAGTTACCTGCCCTCTCTATCTCCCCATCTCTTCATTTGTAAACTTTGGAAACTAATGAGGACTGTGAAGATTAGGCAGCACGAGCTTTGTCAGGTTCTCAGTGCGCTGCGCTGTGTGGTCTGTGAGTGCTGACTTGGATGGGGCAAAGGCACCAGGCAGAACACTGTCAGGGAGTGAGCAGAACTTAGCTCAAACAGTAGGCTTTTGTGGAAGCCTCGGGTGTTTGGTAGAAAAAAAAGTGGTTTGTGGTTTGCCAAGTGCACAGAGGCCTCTGGCTCAGAGGAAGGACTTTAAAGAGGTACGGGAGGGTAAGGCAGGCACAGGCGATAGCAGGACAATGGCAGCCATTGGTACCTAGTCTGTTCAACTCACTCTCCCAGGACAGTGCTTGGGAACTCCTGTCCCCACCATGAGCATTGACCAGAGAGCTGCAGGGTTATGGGTACTAAAATCTTTTCCATATTTTCTAAGTTTTCTGTGGCCATAATATAATCAGATACATTGCACTCTTTAAAAGCTGCATTGTCACAATAAGTAAATAAATAAATAATAAAAGCTGCATTGTGTACAGTGTGTTAGGTGCTAGGGTGGCTGAGGGAGGGTGCACTGAGGAGCTTGGTGCATCTTGCAGGGGTTCCACTGCAGATGTGCTCAAAGCACGAGGGGGACTAACCCAGGGAAGGGCCAGGAAGAGCCAACCTGGCTCCCTCAGCTCAGAGTTCCCAGAAATATGCCCAGTGTGGGGAGGTGGATTGGTGGTCCTGTCCTCCCTGGCTGTGTGGCCCGTTGCAGGTTGCCAGCCTCAGTGTTTCCATCTCTAAAATGCACTGTCCTATGGATACATGGGGAACTTCGGAATGAGGCTCAGAACACAAAGGATGTCACCGTGCAACCTCCCTGCCGAGGCCGTCTTGGTTTCCTGCTCACAGCAGGTGTTTGCTGGCAGGAGTGGGCAGTCTCCCTCTTCAAGCGAAGCTGCTCCAGGGCCTCTTGCCTCATCAAGAGGAATCACTCAGCGAGGTCTGGTTCTTACCTACTCATTTCCTCTCGCCCTGGCGTGATGTGTCCCAGTGGTACGTGGCTGCAGATGACAGTGCCACACAGGCTGTTGCCACCCCTCTGTAGACACTGTGCTCAGTAACAGCTTCAGAAACCCCCAGGAGTAACTCTGGTGCATGTGAATTGGACAGTCACTAAGTGCTACATTTTTCTTACTTCAGGGACTCTCAGTTGACAGTTGGTGGCCATCACATGATTGAGCTAAATAATGAAACAGTAGTTACGGGTGTCAATAATGGTGATGGTGCCATTTATTTTCTGCTCAGTGTTTTCGCATCTGTTGTTCAGCAATGACTTCTAGGCTGACTCCTGGTGAATGAATAGTTCACAAGAGAAGAAAAAGCCTGTTTTTCCCAATTTCACTGCAAAACTCTTGTCTTTGCCCTTTCAACTCATCTTTAAATTGCATGTGTGTGATGACACACCAGGGACCACTGCTTTCCTGCTATGTCATCCTCCTGTCTCCTCCTCACGTGCTGAGCTTGCGGGAATCCTGAGCCCTGCTGTGACAGGGCCCTTGTTGCCGTGACCCACGTCGTGTGCTGCTTTGCTCCATGTTGCACCTTGAGCCCTGCTAGAGTCACGCCCTGTGACTCCTGAGGCGTCTCACTCTTGGTGGCTCAGCGCCTCTGCGTGTGACTCTGTTCCTTCTGTCAGGGAGCAACACTTCTGCCAGGACCTGATTCCAGCTCCCTCTGGTGAACAAGACTGGTGTGTTGGGGCCGGGGATATAGTTCATTTGCACAAGCACCTGTCTGGCAAGCACAAGGTCCTGAGTTCGATTCCTGGTACCAAAAAAAAAAAGACTGGTATTATGGGGTTGCCAATACAAATGGCTGGAGAAGCAGGGATGACTCCTACTGGGAAGATTCCTGCAGCTCAGAAGTGTCCAGTTCTTGATTCTGTTCTTGTTCTCTTGATTCTGTTCCTGCCCTCTAGTTGAGAAAGGCCCCAGTTCACTTTCCAGTGAAACACACACACACACACACACACACACACACACACACAATTTGCCCACCACAGATAGGAATGGTACATAGATGGGAATACTGCAGTGCTGGATTATATCTGTGCGACATCCATAGTATCGCAGGCAAATTCTCGTTCTGCCATTTTTCTGGTCTACATGGGTTTCCAGATTGTACGCCCGCTCATAAATTTAGGCATAAACACTAAACATTTTTAAAACCCGTTTGTTCTAGTAGAACAGACACAGCATCTCCATGGTGGCCTGATAGGTACAGGAAGTTTGCAGTCAGATTGCACCAGTTCTTTCCTGGAAAGGGGGGACATGCTAGCACCTTCCCCACAGAGCGTAAGTGCCCAACAGTAAGTTAATCCTACTAACTGTTATCACGGCATCTGGAGCATGATGGAATCATCTGGCTGAGGGAAGCCTGCGAATCAGACAGAGGCTGATAGGGAGCGGCTCATCTCTCCTCACTTCCTAGTGTGAGAAGGAAGCGCTGCCTAATTCACAGCAAGGGACCTCCAGGAACTAGCACAGCTGGAGAGGCAGAGAGCCGGGCTGGGGCTGCCTGTGGGAAGCACGGTGACCTTCTAGGTGTGTTTCCGTGAGGCCGGGCAGTTCGCAGGCGACAGTGCTGACGTTCTTTGAGCTGCAGAGCTCTTCTGTGAGGCAGAACGTGGGTCAGGGTTCCTCCTTCGGGGAGGAAGATGCGGAGGCTCAGCAGCAGGTATGCTATGAAGAAGGCTCACCGAAGGCATGTCTCTGCAAGACAAGGATGACAGATACATAGACGTGTACCTCTTCAGAGCCTTGCTTCCTCCTGACAGCCATTGCTGCCTGACCTTGATGATTCCCACCTGGCTTTCTGAGCCCAGGCCTCCCTCCACACAGCCTCTTCCAGTCAGATTGTGACCTGAGGGACCTGCTGACCACACCTTCCAATTAGCATCCCTGCAGGACAGGAAACAGAGTCACTGTTGCTGTTGTGTCTTATTTTGGTGTTCCAGTGGCTCTGGAGTTCCTGGTGGCATTGGCAGTGGTTTTGGTTTACCAGCTGCTTGAACTTTATCACCCCTGCATTCTACTTTGCTGTTTTTTGTTTTTTGGTTTGTTTGGTTTTTTTAAATGTATTTGGGTACAGAGTCTGCAGGGTCTACAGGGTCTCACTATGTAGGTCAGACTCATAGTGATTCTCCTCTTTTCAGCCTCCCAAGTGCTGGGATTTCAGGTGGGCACCACCATGCCCAGTATCAATCACTGTCTCAGCGCACCCCGGGGACAGGGACGGCAGCATGCCAGGGGATTAAACCCAGTCGCTGTGTCTGCCTAAGCAGGCACTTTAAATCCGCTGAGCTATCTGGCCAGCCCTTTTTTGGCTGTTTTTAAGCAGCTCTTCAAATAAAAATTGACCACCTATAATAGTAGCAAATGGCCTTTATTGCCAACAGCCATCTTTTCTCTCTCATTTAAGGCAAATGCTCTCTTTTATTCCATCTACTAAAGTCTGAAAGGCAGACAGTGATAAGAAAAAGGAGCTTCTCTTCTCCCAGACACACAAGGGTGGACCACCCTGTCTGGTGGCCAAGGCCCACTTTCCTGGCCTGTGTTCCCAGCTGACAGTGTTCCAAGGGCATGATGTGTCAGGGCTTTGTGAGGCCCGTGAGGGCTGCTGTTTTAGGACTTGAGAGTCCAGGCATTATTGACGGGGACCTTTCTCTTTCCTCCTTGGAGCAGTTGGGTAGAGTACAATAGGGAAACAGTGCAAAGTAAACAGACCAGTCAGCTTTATGGTAGGCCTCTAATACGTGTAGCATTTGGGTCATTAGAGCCACTAGGTGAAGTAAGTAGCCTAAAAATGATCAAAGCCCCTGTTCTTTGGCTACTAGTAGCTGCTTATCACTGATAAGCCCAGGAGCACCCCCAGTCCCCCAAGGTTGTAGCTTCCTGCTGGCTCTGGAGCCCATAGTGTACAGGCTTGGCAAATCACAGTCAGTGCCTTTAAAAAATGGTTATCATGAATTAACTCTTAATTTCCCTGATTGTAGTTGTGGAGCATGGGGAGTATACAAAATGGTTTTAAAAAAAAAGATAAACTTTTTAACATTTCGGTTTTATCTCATTGAAGTAAGCAAGTGCATGTGTGGGGGGGGGTGCGGCAGGAGTGAGCCTGTTGCTGGGGGTTGACCCTAAGACTTCATACTTGCTGAACGAATACTTTACCATGGAGCTATACCCCCCTAGCCTTTCTTAAATTTTATTTTGAGACAGTATCTTGCTGAGTTTCCCAGGCTGGCTTTGAACTTGTATCCTTTTACCACTGCACCTGGCCTCTAATGTATAAGTTTTAAGAAAATCTGTGTCATAGGGAAAGTGTGGTTTTGCCATGCTCTTTTTATACCTACTTGCTTATATTTATATCTCTAAATACTTTGTAAATGACATTTTAAGTGCACATCTGTGACTCTTACTGATACATCATAAGTTACTTAACCATTTGCTGTGGAACATTTTAGTTGATCCTACTTTTTTTTTTTTTTTTTTTTTTTTGCGGTACTGGGGATTGAACTCAGGGCCTTGTGCTTGCCAGGCAAGCGCTTATTCTACTAAGCTATCTCCTCCGCCCTACTGAGATATCTCTCCGGCCCCCTACACTTTTGTATGACCAAGCATAGAGGCACAAACCTGGAGTCCCGGTACCTTGGAGGCTGAGTCAGGATGACTGCCATGACTGAGGTCAGCCACCCTGGACTATGTAGCAATTCAAGGCCAGCCCAAAGGACATATAGCAAGATCCTGTCTCAGAAAAACAAATAATAAACATTTTAATAAATATTTTTAATAAATGTATTCTTCATAGTAGCAGCATGTTTTTAAGGGAGAAAATAAGTAGGGCATAGATTCTTGACCTGTTTTTCCTGTGATACTGGTGATTGAAACGAGGCCTTTTAAACTGAGGTGTATCCCTAGCCCTTGTTTTTTTTATTTTGAGCAGGGTCTGAGTAAATTGCTTAAGCTGGGCTTGAACTCTTGGTCAGTTCCTCCCTCAGTCTCCCAGAAGGTGGGGATTATAGGACACCATAGTAGCCTTCATCGCATGCTCCCACCTACATCCCAGGTGTGTGTGCCTGTGCAGGTATCATATCCCTGAGCACACGTGACATGTGGTTCTGTGCTTGATACTTAAAAATAGAGATTCTCTAGACTCCCAGTGGAGAGTTTATGAAAACAGCGGTAGTGATAATTGAGCCTCTCTGGAAATCGTTGTTGCTCTAAATCCTGCCGGGTGCGTGGGAGTTTGGCTGCAGTGCCTCTCGTCCTCCTGCCTGAAGTCCAGCTCATGCTCACAGCCATTTCTCTTGTTCTCTCCTGTAGTTACTGGGGCTTCCAGATGCAGAGGAGGATGCCTTTGAAGAGTACAGTGCCGACGTGGAGGAGGAGGAGCCTGAGGCGGACCACCCCCAGATGGGGGTCAGTCAGCAGTAAAACTACCAGGGCGCCTCTGGAGAAGGAGAGTGAGCCCTGCGGCACCCTTGGCAGGGTTGTGTGCTCCTGGGTTAGCATTTTGCTTTAGCACCTCAGAACAGGACGTCCGGCTCCCAGCATCCCAATTCCAATGAAATACCTTTTTAATGACCACAAAGTATCTGTGATAAGCTTTGCTCAGAAGTGACCTGAGTTTTAGTCCCACTGCAGGTGGGTTTCTATGGAATGGTCTTGGTAGCCTTTGCCACTTTGAATCTAGAGTCCATTTTGTGGCTGCCTATTCTCTCTTGAGTTTATGTTGAAGAATTAACATTCACTGACTGGAATGCAGAGAACTGTGAGTGTATTAAGGATGTGCTTGGAGTCCTCACACATGCGCTCGCTGAGGAAAGGCATGGCAGAGACGAGCAGTCTGTACTTTTTATGTACTTTTAAGTGTCCGTAAGTGAAAGGCTTTGCTTATAAAGCATGAGTTTTAATAGCTAGTCATTGAACTGCGCAAGGGCAGAGGCAAGGGCGGAAGAGGAGAATCACTTAGCTTTGAGTGAAGGGGTAAGAGAGGCAGAGAAGCCGTGAGGGTCTTGCCGTTACTAAATTAGTACCTGCGTATGTGTCAGCTGGTTCCTGAATAGGTGTAAATGTTACTTCCATGTTCAGTTGTTTGAAAATATGCTAATTCCAAAGCTACTTTTAAAATCTAATAGTGGAAGATATACATGGGGTGAAAGACATAAATTATTGACTTCTTTCAGCTATTTATAAAGTGTCCTACATATGAAATCAAACATTTACCTTTTCTCTTTCTAATGAGGTGGAAACTTGTTAAATTGTGAAAACTCCTAGAATCCAAGTAAGTGCCACTTAAATTTTGAAGCCATAGATAAATTTAATAGGAAAAACACATCAGGATAAAAAATAATTTTTAAATACAATGAAATTCTCCTTTACTTTCTTAATCTTTTATTCTTTAAAAATGAAAAGTCAGGAAAAGGCTCCTGTTACGTTATTTGGTAAAAATTACAATCAAGTAAGTAAGTAAGAGACCTCATGGCCGTGAATTCTTCGAGGGCCGTGGAGGTAGGAGTGCTCTTCATGGGTTCAGAGGGAGCTTTTTAATGATCAGGATACTCAGACAACTCACAAAGGCAGTTGCTGCCCTTTAGCCAACAGATATTTACGGGTACGTCCTTTGCAACGCTACCGTGGAATTATTTGAAATGCTCATCGTCTTGGACCCTTCCACATTTCTGATTCTAATATCTAAGGACACATGTGGTGCCGCCTGTATACTACTTGATTAGTGGCAGCCTCTGGCTTGGGCATGTCTTAATCATGAACACATGTGCCCATTAGGTCATTCGCATTTTGAATTTAACAAAAGAAATTCCAGGAGTAGCCGAAGCCACAGGACTCACGGGCGTCTTGTGTATTATCTTCCAGGCGTGTCGGTGTAAGCCTGATCATCTCAGCGTTTTCTGTTTGAGTGGTACTGTGGGGAGTTCAGCCATTTGTGGTCAGATAGTGTACTGCAGTCTTAAGTCCTCAGGTGAAATAACACAGTGGTTTCCATCTGTGCTTTAGTACCCACGTTTTCTTCTTTACTTGGGAAATATGAACAGTTAATTTCAAGTTAAATGCATTTTTTTCACGTAGCCTATTAGTGAAGCCCACCCTGGGGTGAGTGGGTCCCGCCCTCTGCAGCCGTGCCTGTGTTCACGTGGGCTCTGCTCACCAGCACGGAGGGCCGGGCTCTCCAGGCTGTAGTGTTGCCTAGTTTGGTAACGTCCACTTTTACACAACAGGCTGCAAGAATGCCTTCCACAACAGAAATGAAGCTCTGCTAGCTTGCTGCATCCTAAGGTAAACTGGAATTTTATACATAGAGACTTCAAATCTAAATTTACATATGTTTGGAAATGGAATGGACATTAATATAAAACGTATTTTATCGAGAAAGTATTTAGACTTTGTCCGATACATTTCGGTATTATCATGTTAATGTTCTCTGTGTAACAGTGGAGCGGAGATAGACTGGGCCATTCAGTAGTCTGATGAGAATTCCAGGCTTTGTTCCACCACCAGGTAAGAGAGAACAGCCCTGGATGTGACTGACTTTCCATGGCAGAACCCCAAAGTTAGCAAATCTGTTTCTTTTCAAACTTCCTTTTCTTTAGTGGTGTTCAGGGTTCTCCAGTATTCCCATTAGCATTCTCTCTCCCTCTCCCTCTCCCTCCCCCTCCCCTTCCCCCTCCCTCTTCCTCTCTTTCCCTCCCTCTTTCCCTCCCTCCCCCTCCCC